TCATTAATATAAATAACTTTTATCCTAGAATTTCAGATGTTTGAAAAATAGTGTTTTTCCCTGAAAAAATTCTGGCTCAGAAAGAACAAACATGATTTAAAATTCTCTAATATATGTGATAGATCTTTTACTCAAGTGCCATATAAATGAAAAGTACTAGTTGGGAGACTGATCATCATCTAAGGCAGAAAGCAAAACATTTTCTTTATTTCCAATATTTGTCATTAAATTTATGCAGTTATCTTCAAATAGCTTTTGTAGAGAAAAATATCACGTGTCTCATTCCAACTGAAATTCATTTTTGCTATTTAGAAAATAACAGAATTTGAGAAAAATTGATGATTCTTTTAGTTATTCATTCCCACAGGATACTGCATTTTATTTACATAGAAGAAATAAAATGATAAATTAGGCCCACTTTCCCCAAAGTTACAGAGTTCATGGATATTCTGGCTATCATAGATTTCTACTAATTCCCACATCACTATGTGAAAACCACTACATTAGAGGCAGAAATATAGTTAGCCTATCTAGATTACAATTCATCTTATTTTCAGGACCTCTGAAGAAAGTAGGCAATTTACTTCTTTAACTTTACCTGGGAAATAATACTTTTATGTTACCCTACATCTACAATATGTAATTTTAGAAAATGCAGTACAAATATTCAGTAACAAAATACTAAGGCTGATATTTTTTGCTTTCTGGAGCCAGAAATTTAAAGTTCTTTGCACTGTATTGGCTTTTACCACACTGGTGATTAGAAAAAGTCATGTACTCAGTGGAACTAAATAAAAGTTGTTCTGGTAATGTAGTTTGAATTTCTGGGTCTTTGTGTGATTAAGATCTCAGCCACAAAGTTCTATTCATTTTTAAGGAAAACCTTGAGTCTTTAGAAGAAATGTACTGCTTCATTTTTACTGGGTTTAAAACCTCCATTTGTAATGTTTTGAATACCTTTCACGAGTTATTCCTTAATTGTTAAGTGAGAATGATAGTCTGAGTTTTGTAAAGAGCAGAATGGGACCATGTAAATTCATTTGATTACCTAAAAATGACTCTGTAAAGAAGTAGCAGAACAAGAAGGAAAACTCATATCCCTCATATTTTCCTGCTACTACTTAATTCATAATGGTCTAGCTTTATTTTTTATTATAACATACACAGTTTTGAAGTTTGAAAGCTTATAGCACCAAATGAGGAGTGAAATAATTCTATTGTGTGGTTTTCCTTATGTAAAATATCAAGATATTTCCACAGACTTCAACGTGTTGAAATGTATTTTAATGTAGTCTGTGTTGTTTTTTTAAAGTAGTAAGTTCATTAAAAGTTAAATAACAATAAAGATGACAAATAAGGATGTGGAGTCTGTGATAAGCAATAAGAATGAGTTCTAATTAGTTCAATACTAGCACAGAGGCCTCCAGACTTGGAGAGAATCACATTAAAAAGTGTGTTCTACATTATTGTCTCTCACAGCTATATGGTCACCTTACTAGAGCACAGTCAAATACTTTATGCTCCAGTTTTGTCCCAATTTAATGGCTATTTTACCTTAGAATTCATAATCATTGCTTTGTTTTCTCTCCCCCATACATGAATGAAAGGGCAGGACATTTAAAAAAATTTTCTTTCCATCTCTAAGCATTAGAAATAATAAATAAATCTAAGCAGGCATATTAACCTTTAAAGTATGGCATAATCTATGTTCTATTTTAGTTAAACACAGTTACTGAATCAGGTGTTGCTATTGGGAATGATAAAATAGCAGAAATGCTTATCTCTAACTATTTTAGTCAGTAAAGCACAGCAGAGCACAGGGTTTTACATTAGATAAAAACTGTTTAACATCACAAGAAAAGCATGTGCTGTTTTCGAGAGCCTTTCCCCCTCTTACTGGAGGAAGCCTTGGGAGTATGGGTTGCACAGTCATCCTAAACCATGTCTGTTGCGTGGGTGGCATATGCTTGCTCAGGCATATGACAGTGATGACTTGGGAAAGGAAACTTCTGGTGCTCGGAGTGAGTAAGAGGTTTCATTAGTAGTAAGATCACAAAACATCCTTACTTCTGATGATGATTTTGACTTGGATGGGAAAAGTTTTTGTTTTTTCCCAGAGTTAAGCATTCTTGGGTTTGTGTCTTGTTTTGTGTTTATCTGTGTGGATGCATGTTCACCAGCTCTTTCAATTTCTGTTAATTTGGATAGTGTGTTTATTCTAGTGTATTTCTTAGGATCCATATCTTAGTCTTTACTCTCTGCAGTGAAACCTACTTGCATAAGAATAATTGGGCAATTTGGCCTTAGCCAAATTGTTTCATCACTGAGTCTACATTTCTTTATCTGTAAAATGAAGATAATAATACCTGTAGGATGGAGTGACTCAAATAAAAAACATATGAAATTAAAAAAAATCTGTTTCTGGTGTAAGTGCTCAAAATTTATTATTTTAAAAGAATGTTTTATTCAAGAAAATGGCAACCAGAGACCTGGAGAGTATTATGCTAAACAAAATAAGCCAGTCAGAGAATAACAAGTATCACATGATCTCACTCATATGTGGAAATAAGAATAAGAGAAACTAAGAAATAGATTAGGGATATAGAAGCATGGAGCAGTCTGATGACTCTCAGATATGGGGGGAAGGATAGAGGGAAGGGAGGGTGAAATTAATAAAAAAAATTTATATGCATTTATTTGTATACCCAATGGGTACATACAATAGTGTGGTGAAGGCCTACAGGGGTGGGTTAGGGAGTGGAGGGGGAATGGAGGAGTTTAATGAGGGAATAAAAAGGGAACAGTTGTAATAATTTCAATAATAAAAATAAATTAAAAAATAAAATCTCTCTAATAAAAGAGTAATTTGCAAATTGTCACTTCAACACAAGATGGCCTCCTCATGTGGTCAAAGATGGCTGCTGCCATGTGGACACAAGATAGCTGTCAAACAGAGGAGAGCAGTTGGGGGGAACCAGGCCTGCAGGGAAGGAAATTGTGGGGTGGGGGACCAGACCTACAGGGGAGAGCAGTTGGGGGGACCAGGCCTGCAGGGGAGGGCAGTTGGAGATGACCAGGATGGCAGGGGAAGGACAGTCAGGGGCAAGCAGGCTGGCTGGGGAGCAGTTAGGCATCAGGCTGGCAGAGGAGTGGTTAGGGGGTGATCAGGCTGGCAGGCAGAAGTGATTAGGGGCAATCAGGCAGGCAGGCAGGTAAGTGGCTGGAAGCCAGCAGTTCTGGATTGTGAGAGGGATGTCTGACTGACCATTTAGGCCCAATCCCACCAGGATCAGGCCTACACAAGCAGTCAGACATCTCTTGAGGGGGTTCCCGATTGGAAAGGGCTGAGGGACACCCCCACCCTGTGCACGAATTTTGTGCACTTGGCCTCTAGTAAATCTATAAACAACAATAGCAACAAAAAAGAAACAGCAACCAAGAGGGCCCCTATATTTAAAATGTATCCATAAAAACTCTGTGCATTAAATTTTACTCTAAAATGTTTCCCATTGCTGGTCAGAAACACTCACTGTAGATGCCCTAGAAGTATGTTGCTTCATTGTGAACATTTTCTAGGAGTTTTCACAGTTAGAGCCTACCATATACAGCCTTAACTCGAATCCCACATCCATGGTTGCTCACTTTATGGCAATAATGAACTGTTTGTAGTCCTTGTAAGTCTCATATGACTTTATGTATCCTTGTAAATGCCATTCTTTCTGTGTGCAATTTTCTTTTCCCTTCTCTCTTCCTGGAAAACTACCCACTTAAGATTCAGCTCCAGTATTATCTATCATAGGGGGTCTTACCTAATCTCTAACCCTTGCTCTCTTGGATGAAACCTCTCTTCTCTTTAACTTCTAAACAATACCTATACTTCTATCATTACACTGAAAACTTTACATTATAATTTTTTTCTTTTAAAAAAATATATTTTATTGATTTTTTTACAGAGAGAAAGGGAGTGAGATAGAGAGTTAGAAACATTGGTGAGAGAGAAACATCAATCAGCTGCCTCCTGCACACCTCCTATTGGGTATTTGCCCGCAACCAAGGTACATGCCCTTGACTGGAATTGAATCTGGGAACCTTTCAGTCTGCAGGCCAATGCTCTATTCACTGAGCCAAACCAGTTGGGCTGCATTATAATTTTTTACATAGCAGTTTCCATGCCTGGACCTTAAACACTTGGGAAGAAGAGGTATTGTTTACTTGGGGTTTTTATGTTTAGCAAGTACTTTGCCAGTAGTTGCTGCTCAAAATATGTTAATAGTAATCCCCACTTAGAGTTTGCAGTTGATAGAAAGTTTGAAGTTGATAGAAAGTTGTTCACATAATGTGATTTTAACAAGATTTAGGAAAATCCTTTTTTGTTCCATACCAGCATCTATTCAATAGCTCTTGTAAACATTTCCCCCTTAGTCACTGGTTCCTAATGAGTCTGTAATAGATAATAAAGCCCTTTCTTCCACAGAGATAGACTAAATGCATATAAGCAGGGGAGAAGATATATTCTGATTTAAATATTAAGACAGGATGTAGTAAGAGGCATTCTGGGCCTAAAATAGGAGTATAACAAACAGGCAGGAAGATCTGTTTAAAAGTTCATACTAGAGTAAATTTTTGAGACTTTTGTTTGCCTGTCATAATTTGTGTTTTCATTGGCAACTGCAATCCAAAGATGGCTTCAAGAATGTGGGTGGAGCCGGGACCGGTTTGGCTTAATGGATAGAGCGTCGGCTTGGGGACTGAAGGGTCCCAGGTTTGATTCCGGTCAAGGGCATGTACCTTGGTTGCGGGCATATCCCTGGTAGGGGGTGTGCAAGAGGCAGCTGATCGATGACTCTCTCTCATCGATGTTTCTAGCTCTCTATCAGTCTCCCTTCCTCTCTGTACAAAATCAATAAAATATATTTTTAAAAAAAGAATGTGGGGGGAAATGTGGTTTTAACTAGGAGTCAGAAATACTAATATATATTTCTCTCTTCTCCCCATTTTAGAGTACATAAGTGCATCAAACAACTCAACACAGCAAATAGGTAAGAACAATTGCAGTTTGGGAAATGCTTATTTTTTTTAATGATAATTTTAAGAGGAGAGTATTTGATACTTGTATAGATTTTACATTTTAGGAATTTGAATTGCTGTATATGCATTTATAGATTGTATTATCTTAAAAAAAAAAATACTGCTTTTTTGTCCTGACCAGATGGTTCAGTTGGTTGGAGCATCATTCTGTATACCAAAGGTTTTGGATTTGATTCCAGTCAGGGCACATATCTAGGTTTCAGTTTGATCCCTAGTTGGGATGTGTACAGGAGGCAATTAATTGATGTTTCTCTCTTGCACTGATCTATTTTTTTTCTCCCTCCATCCCTCTCTCTCTAAAAAAGTCAATAAAAACATATCTTTAGGTAAGGATTTAAAAAAATACTGCATATGTTTAAGATAGTTGGTAAATTTTTCATTCTGAAATTTGTTTCTGTGCTCATTTACTACTATTTCAAGAACTAGAGGTTTGCTGCAGGAAGATTCTTGCAAGAATAGGGCTTCCTATGGCTAGAAAAAAGCAGAGAAGGGAGTTGCCTTTCTCCCACCCTTCTCCGCTGCCTCACTCCCTTCTCCGCTGCTTCACTCCCTTCTGCATGCATCGCTTGGCTTCCTTCTGTGCTGGCTTCAGTCTTCTCCCCCGTGCCTGGGTATGCAAATTAACTGCCATCTTTGTTGGGTTAATTTGCATACTTGCTCCTAATTGGCTGGTGGGTATAGCAGAGGAATGGTCAATTTGCATGTTTCTCTTTTACTTGTGTAGGTGTGATCACTAAACAAAACAATTTCCAAAATACTTGTCATTTAATTTTTTAAAACATAAAAAACTTTTAAAAATAGGTCTTAGTAGATGTTATTAATTTATTTTCTGTACCCCTTACCCAGCCCTACAGTCTCCCAAACTTTTGTTTGCCATTATAGTAACCTTTTCCTTGTATGCATTTTGAATGGTTACTTTTGTGATATGCATTAAGCATTTTATGGAAAAATAATTCTAATGATTTGAAAATACATTCTTGGATTCAATAAATATCTTCATAAATTATACTCAATTATTCACTATCTAAAAAAATTACAGAATAAACTATATTTATAATCAACTACAGAATAAAGTAAATAAAAATTATATCACTATAAATTTCAGGGGTGGGGATAATGCATTAGTATAGTGGGTTAAATGGTGCCCCTCCCCCAAGATATGTCTACCTGAAACTTGTGAATGTCACTGCATTTGGAAAAATAATTTTTGATGAAGTAATTAGGTTAAGGCTCTTGAATTAGAGTGGGCCCCAAATCCAATGGCCAGTGTCCTTTGAAGAGAAGAAACAGAGAAGAAGGTTATCAAGATGGAGGTAGAAGCTGAAATAATCCATCTACAAACCAAGAACCAAAGATTTTTAGCAGTGACCCAAACCTGAAAGAAGTAAGGAAGGACTCCTTGATATCAGACTTCTGGCTTCCAGAAATATGAGAGAACATATTTCTGTTGTTTTAAATGATCAAATTTGCAGCTCTATATATTAAGGCAGACAAAGAAATGAATACAATGAGTAATTAATTTATCTTTCTACTATAAATATGTTTTATTATTGCTATTTTAAAAATTTATCTTTATTGTTGAAATTATTACAGATATCTCTTTGTCTCCCCTCTCCCCCAGTAACCCCCTTCACCCTGCACCTGCCCCCCCAAAGCCTTCACCACACTATCTATGTCCATGGGCTATGCATATCTAATAATAATAAAATAATAATATGCTAATTAGACCAGGCATTCTTCTGGATGTCCTTCCTGATGACTTTCCGGAAGAAGCCGGGGCTGTGAGTGAAGTGCCTGTCAGAGGCTAGAGGGAAGCTTGGGTCCCTGGTGCTTGCTGGTAGCTGGAAGGAAGCCTGGGTCTTGGGTGCCAGAGGGAAACCTGGGGCCCAGTTGGCAGAGGGAAGCCAGTGCCAGCAGCTGGGAAAAGGAAAGCCTACTCTTGAATGAATTTCACACATTGAGCCTCTCATATGCATATAAATTCTCCAGTTAATCTCTCCCCACTCTCCCACCCCTATAAACAGTTTACACTGTTTCAGTCTATATACAGGTACAGGGTGAAAGAGTTAATTAGACTTCTGATGTAAATAATATAAAACTATTAGAGGCCCAGTGCATGAAATTTGTGCACTTGGGGGGAGTCCTTCAGCCTGGCCTGTGCCCTCTTACAGTCCATGTGGAGTAGGCCTAAGCCATGAGTCAGACATCCTTAGCGCTGCTGTGGAGGTGGGAGAGGCTCTTGCCACCTTCACTGCACTTGCCAGTCATGAGCCCGGGTTCTGGCACTGACCACTAGGGGGAAGTTCCTGCATTGGGTGTCTGCCCCCTTGTGGTCATTGCACATCATAGCAACTGGTTGTTCTGCCCTTTGGTCAATTTGCATATTAGCCTTTTATTATATAGAGTAATCTTTCTAAATTTAAAAGAAAATTTAGTTTCATATGAAGAAATAAAAGAAAGAACACAGGAGCACTGATCAGAAACTTTATTGTTTGTTGTATTACTTTGGTACTGTATACAAAGCTTCAAACAAGAAGGACACTTTCTGTTTTCAATGAAGTCATGATATAATACTTGATATGAAATTGGTATCTATAGCAACTAGCTGGCAAATGAGGCCACAAAACTAAAGGACTCATGTATTAACAACTAATGAAGCTTAAAAAGCATATTCACTATTATAAAAATAATCAGAGGAACATTTGTGAAAATAAGCATGATTATTTTTTTTCTCTTCTAAAAATAACCATTTTTGCCCACTTAAGAGTACATTTTAACTTGTGAGTTTTATCTCTGGTATGAGAAGTTGCAAGGACAATTTATTGATTTTCATTCTCAGGGTATTCTTTGGAAGGAGATGGATTTTCTTGATTGTAGGAGCATTTGGTATCTGATTTTAGAGGCAAATTTCTCCATGGGTTTCCATTCACTGGAAAAAACTTTATTAAGCAGAAGATGTTGTTCATGTTCCAGCCCCCTGAGAGATCATTGATACACAAAATGCTTAAAGACTTCAAGACAATTTTGAAGACACCACTTAATGCAAGACCAAGCTCTTCTAACACTCCTGTTAGTTTCTGGACACATATTTAGTTCCATCTGCTAAGAACTAACATGGCCAAACTGCTAATATTCCCAGACAAGTTTGCCAAAATGAGAATACAATTAAGTGCCAATAACTTAACAGTTTAGAGCATGGAAAATATTAGCTTTGTCACAAAAATAACAATTTCTGTGGGGCGTATGAAGTAAAATCCAAAGGATAGGAGAAAAGCTTTAATTATCCTTTTAAAGACATCAATCAAGGCTGAGTTTTTAAACTTTCCATTGACAAGAGCCTATGTCCTTAAAACAGAGAGCAGGTCTCAGGGCTTCTGAGTCCAAAGGCCACAAGAGAAAGCTCTCATCTACTAGAATAACCTTTGTATCTCCTGGCTGCCATCTCTTGGTGGCCAGACAGCTACCTTAGCTGGGAATGGAACAGGGCACATGGTAGTTTTCTTTTCAAGAGAATCCTATCAGGTACTCTCGATACTTGGCACGCTTCACTTAGGGTAAGAGAATGAAGGCAGAAAAGAAGGGTGGAAGAAAGGAAAGAGTGAGGGAGGGAAGGAGAGAGGGAAGGAAAAAAGGAAGGAAGGAAGGAAACAAGGAAGGAAGGAAGGAAATTTTCTGGTTATGGTAAAGACAGAAAAAGAAATTTATTTAATTTGATGGAGAACTTGCAGTTGTTAGCAGAGTTTATTTATTTTTAAAAGACGAAGTAAGCAGAAGAAAATGGAATACTCGATAGATGCTTATTGTTTTAAATTGTGTTTAAATGCAAGAAATTAGAACAAAACACCATACTTCAAATCAAGAGTCAGCAAACTATGGCCTATGGACAAAATCCAGCCAGTCACAAAGGGTGGGGGAAAGGGACACACTTGTAATTATGTCAACATTAAATACTTTAAATTAAAAAATAAGCATTTATTACCAATAAAACATATAAATACAACTTTATTGGAAGAAGGCCACATCCATTTGTTTAAGTATTATATATGGCTGCTTTCTTGAGGCAACAACAGAGATGAATACTTACAGCAGAGACCATATGAACCACAAAGCCTCAAATGCTTCCTTCTTCCCTTTATAGAAATGTCTGCAGATACTGATTTTACCCCACTTTACTTACACTCCTTATTCCCAATAAAACTTTAAATTTTCCTCTTGATGCTTCCAAATGGTAATTACAACAATACCATAATCAAAAGTGCCTACATCCTAAATTTTCTTCCATTACAAACACAGTCTTGGTTGGTGGTGAATTTGACAATGGAAGAAAATGACAGACTCTAGGACGCTTGGAACTGGATGTGGAAGGATGAGAGAGGTCTGAAAGGCTAAGCTATATTTGAGCTATGAATTTTAAAGCTCTAGAATTTAGAATTTCTAAGTCATAGCTTGATTTGGATAAGCTCCCTGAGGTCAGCTCTGACTTCTTATCTGTTTCTGGAGTAGATTATTAAGCCAAATATAAACTAAAAATAATAGAATCTCAATAATATCCTGCCTTCATCCCAATTACAACTGCCTACAAAAGCCAAATTATGTCAGGTGCCTGTTTGCTGCTCAGTTCTAAGATTATTTCTTTGTTTATTTTTAAATATGGTAGATCTGGGTACAAAATTAGAACAGGGAGCAAGGGTGTCTTTTATAATAAAACCCTAATATGCAAATCAACCGAACAACAGAATGACTGGTTGTTATGATGTGCACTGTACACTAGAGGGCAGAAGTTCAATGCAGGAGCTGGCCCTGTGCACTCCCACAGAGGAAGCATTGTTCAGCCAAAAGCTGGACTCATGGCTGGTGAGTGAAGCAGCAGTGGAGGGAGCCTCTCCCACTTCTGTTACAGGTGGTCCATAAGGAGCGAGGGGTCCTGGACTGCAAGAGCCATGGACTGCAAGAGGGAGCAGGCCAG